CTAGAGGCGCCACTGTCACGGTCGCCGCCGCTATTATGTGTTTTCGAAGGAGTTTCCAGTATTGGCGAAGCTATATTGTATTTGGCGTAACTCTAGAAAACTTATTTTTCATCGGTGTCATAGTTTGCAAAATGTCAGCTTCGTGAATATTTCAATACGTGCATCCCATGTCCATGAGATGACCTGATCAAATCACGAATCTCACAAAAATTAGGTTGCAGTGTTGGGAAGTACTTTAAGTACATTGTACTTAAAGTACTACTTCAAGTAGGTTTAGGAAACTTGTACTTTACTTGAAGTACATTCTCTGAGTATGTACTTGAAGCTTACTTAAAGTATTTTTTTCTGGTACTTTCCGAGGAAAGTACAATTCCCGACTTCAAAGTACATTCACCAGATTTGGATTTGTTATATTTTTATCACGAAATGATGCTTGGTCAACACCGGAGAAATACTGGGAGGGATATTCTACTCTATCCAGAAACGTGAACAGACGACGCATCGCTCCGTTTGTTCCGGGAGCGGCTTTCCTGTAGCTTTTTTAACTCTCGCTACTTCTCGGTCAGTCAGTGCGATTGAGGAGGTTTAAGATATTAGAAGAACTAAATTAATCATATTGTAGTACCTGAGACTGTGGTGCGGAAAAATTAAACTTTGAAGTCGAAGAAAAATAAAACACAGGAAAGAAGAACATCACAATTTTGAGACATTCTCTTTTGTCTGTCCTTAGACTTGAAAGTTTCTTAATTTTTTTCGCACGCCAATCTCAGATGTCACATTATGATTAATTATCACCAGCTCGCTTGCACATTCACTGTTTTTGTTTTTCTCTTTAAGGAGAGGACACTCTTTTATGAGAAAACTGCTCGCGGAAGCTACGGGGCTGACGTCATGATCTCTGCTTGTACATTTAACCCCCTTGGGTGCAACAATCCAGGGAAAGCGCGCCAAATTCAAGAAAAAACTTCCGAATTTGGCTCCATTTCTGAAAATAACTACTCTGTGGCCACTTGACTTTATCGAATATTCGCCGCTGTTTTTGAAAATAGGTCATGCACCCCCGATTACCATTGGGCATGCATACCAGTTAAAATATTACTGTATAGGGAATAAATGGGCATCATGAAAGATTGTGTTAAAATACTTTAACTTTACTTTAAAAGTACATTGTATGTATTGTACTTTACTTCAAGTACATTGCACCCAGTGTACTTACTACTTTACTTCAAGTACATCACGTCTCATTTACTTTGAACTTAACTTGAAGTACTTTTTATATGTACTTTACCCAACACTGTTTGGTTGTCGGGACAGTTATAAATTGTTCACAGTATCCACTTTCTTGAGATTCAACTCGGCATCAAATCTGCATGTTGTTTTCCCCCAAATTGCCGGCACCAATGGCTTCCAGCTTTGAGAACCTGTAGAGGTATGTCAATGGTCACTGCAATCATCAGGGCTGTATTCAGATAATACTGAAGGCCCAAGTGGTGTTCCGAATAATTTCATTGACATTCCGTCCACACACCTATTCAAGCGTCCATGACCACCCAGCCGTGAGCTTCCAGAAGCTGGTACACATCGCTGGTCAAGCAATACGGGTCACTAAGTGCTTAGTTAGCGTCTAGGTGCCTTGTACTCAGAATATGTTGGGTGCATATTATCACCTTGATCTCACAAATCGGAATTCTGGTACAGGCATGCTGATAACACCGAGCATCAGAATCGTTGTTCCATTTATTTGCATCCCAGGTTTCTGAACCTCCACTGTCGCTATCAAAGAACACTCGACCTTCCTCTTCCTTTCGTACATCGAATTTTGGATTTGACCTTCAAAAACTGGGTCCCACATGGATCTTGTGTTCCTCCTCCCCGCACTTGCGGCTTCTAACTCCTTTGACACTTTTTCGCTTGATGAAGCATCGCATGTGTCCGTTCGTACACTCCCTTCAAGTTTCCGATAGTCCCTTCGATTATCGCCGGTATTGCGTCGTGCGAGAGTGTAGAGCAAAGGTCAGACCCAAGCAGCACACATGGTCCCCCGGATATCTTCGGATGTCCCGACGTTCCAGGGATGTCCTGTGGATGTGTATAGGACATCTATGCTGCTAAGGGAAGCACGAGCTCCTTCGAAGGGCGCACCTCAGCTGCACCAACTCTTGCACACCAGCCATACTTTGTTTCACCTGTTTCAGCTTATCTGTGAGCAATGGCAAAGCTTCAAGCACGAGCGGGTAGTCCGCAGAAATCCAGACTGCGCGAGTGTGCGCGCAAGAACGTACGAAGCGGTGGGCTCGCACATGTCCTCTTCGATGCACATAAGCTCATACTAAAACGCCTCGAAAAGCCGACCACAAACACAACGAAGCCTCACCGCCTCACGGCCTCACCTCGGCAGCGATGCAAAACATGGGCGAAAGCCCTGGGAGGCCACACACGCAACAAGCCAACCAAACCAGCAAGCCCACACGCGCGGCGGTGGCACGCACGGCACGCGCGCCACCTACGTGTGTGTTCGACTCCTGAACAACATAGCTATAAAAAAATCTATTGATACTATATTTATGACGCATGATACGTGCTATGTCTTAAAAAAACAAAACAAAATATATAAATTGTCTAAAGTTTGCTAGGTCACGTGACATATTAACTTTAAAACAACAATAAAATCTAACTCCTTTATTTTTGTTAGCTATATTTGTTTATAAAAAAGCATAATATGTACATAAAAATGAATTATGTTCCTATATTGCAAGTCACGTGACCTTTTGCGTGGATGGAGCCCTATCTCCTCCCAACTTGGCTACGTCCTCGCGCGTGGATGTAGCCTCTGCCAATAATTTTTCTCGCTGAGAAGCGTTCTTCCCTGGCATAAATTACACAAGAGTCCGCAGTACCAGCTCTTGTTTTGACGATATTAGGTTTAGGTGGACGACGGCCTAAAGCAATTTTGTCTTTCTGAATTATATTTTGATCCAGACTTCACGTTCTCAAACTTTCACTTTATATTTAAGCGCTAGTGTCACATTGTGACGAAGGTTCAGTTTTCTGCGATTCTTTATTTATTTATTGCCGTCTAAAAATACCAACTCGAGGGAATCCAAACGGAGACCTTGCGCTTTTGCTATAACCAGTATCGTTCAGAACTTGGTGATTACTCAGATCACAAAATTGTGTCAACGCTCTAAAATGGACCTTCTGTCGAGACGTTGTAGGACTAATGGTCTAATGCTTTATGCATTATTGTTCATGAATGTCCCAGTTTTTCGTTTAACAAATTCATGCAATTAATACCTTACATCAGACACGTAACAACGATGCACTCTCGATTTTCATACCGTACTTCCATAACAAGTTCAAGACAATTCTTTTTTGTGGTCACCGTTAACTTTATGAAGCAGAATTCCCGCTAACATAATGAGTTTCATGTCAATTTAATAATTTCCGACAGCACTTGTCCCCTGGCCGCATAATTGACCAGCACAAAGCGTATTAAAGTTGATTTTAGGACTTTCTTAAAAACAGGGCTTCGCAGTATCGCGATATAAATGTATCGCAGTGGTATATCAGAGCTACTATCGAGTATTGGTATGTTTGTATCGTGATACATTTTAAAAATGAATTTATATCATAGTAGTATAATAAGTTATAATGTATCGCTTGTATAGCGATACTTTTCCAAACTTAGGTATCTCGTCACATTTGTTGCCGTTTCTTACGATAAATGTAAAAAAAAATAAAGACATGTTTGGTGAAAGGTGTTTCAGAACGTATAATATATACTCGTCCTATAACATAATTCATAATAGTCACCAACGTATAAAAAAAAGCTGGTTTAAAGAAGGTAACTTTTAAGAATTAAAAAATAAACTCATCTCGCAAAGTCCTCCACTTTTTTCCAATTCAGTAGGGCGAACTCTGTAAAGGGGTTGAGTGTAGAAAAGGTACGGTTTCGTTGTCTAATCTCCCATATTGTGGGTGACACAGAAGAACATAAGACGCCAGTTTAGGATGCACCCTCACGGCGAAATCGGCTTTATTTCGTGCAGACGCCTTTTGTCAAGGAAGACACTCAGTCTTCAACGTTCTATAACTATGCGGTTCACCGGGGGAGGGGGCAGGGGGGGGTGGGGGGAGGTGTTTTTGTTGTTGTTTTTTGTTCAGCGGCCTAATGATAAAGAGTTTGAGGCAAGGTTATGCGGATAAAATGATGCAGAAAGAGGAGCACAAGCATACATTACGGTCTGCATTCGCCACAAACTACACCCTCCCCACGTAGCATCTTGCGGGAAATGCTGTATCTCTATAAGTGTCTGTTTCTGTATTCCGGAATACTTTTAGGCCGTTTTGGCAGAAGTATCTCAGAAATATCCCGTTCCGTAAAAGAGAAATTTATCTAAGTATCTGTTTTTGGGCCCTAAAATGCATGTAAATCAGTATGTGTATTCCCAAATAATTTTTGGAGTATCTCTGCTTAAGACTGTCTAAAAAAATCTTGAAAAAAATACTAAAAAAAGAAAACTCGCATAACTGTTTAAACAACGACGAAGCAGATCTAATTTATATATGTGAAAATTTGCTCTCTGCTCACTTGGAGGGCTGCCGGCGTGCGAAAATTAATATTTTGTATGATAAATTTTGCCTGTTTAAGGGCACATTTAAGGCAGACATAACATGGATGATTTGATGGAAATCGAAACCGCGACCAAGTGATTTTCGGACTGATATATCAACCGAGCTAAGCTGAATAAATGGTCTGAGAGCAACTGTGGAAACTGTAGGAACGTGAGGAACAGCTGCGCTCCGAAGTGCGTGACTTTTGTCCAACACATAGCAACAGTGTTTGTCAGCATAATCAAGCTCGCGTAATATTTCCAAATAAATTGCAAGATGGAGCAAAAAGAGTCTTAAGAAGCGTGCAGGTAAAATTGTTTATTACCGCGATATTTGTCTCGCCCTGAATATTGCGTTGATTTCAAAACGAAAGTAATTATGGAATTTCACGTGTCTTCATAGTATTTGCACTCAGGAGTTGGAACTCTGGCGCACTTGTTACTAGTCGAAATTAAACGCCATTCATCGCCACACACTTGAGTCGCGGTCTCTTGGCGTTCGTCCTCATTTGGCAGAGGATAACGAATATTTTTATGCCAAATACCACATGCTTTTTCGCCTGGTGTCACTGAAATATAAAAATATATAAAAAAAGAAAATCGCTACATAAATATTAAATTAGCGGCACTCAATTTTGAGTCGTATTTTCCAATCTTGAAACTTCAGGAAAAGCAGGGGTAAACTGGCGATTAAGAAATCTTCATGTTATCTGTCCTAACAACTTGAATGCCGAAAAACATAAATGCCGGGGTTGTAGTTTCTACATTTTTTAAACAGCAAGGCCATGGTACTGAATTGTTTGCGTCAGGTAAGGAAGGCCAACGTTGTTCACAGGTTGGGAACGATTGCTTGTGCAGCGTGTGTCCGGGACTCGTATTCAATCAGTGATAACGGAAGTCTCAGTGGAATTTCGACAAATCTCTCGCATTCAATCTGTGCCCGTATTGGACTGCCATATATGAGGCCAAAAATTTAGCATTGCCGCCTTAATATCTATGGGGCACGATAAAATGGCAAGCATTGCGCACTTTTTGAATTGAAAAAAAGGTATAAAGCGAAGCCTAGAAATTTGTGACATCGAAACGCGGGAATATTCAATTATCTCATAATTAAAAAGGTCGAACAATATTTACTTCCACTTAGTTTGTCAAATAAACACTACTTCAAAAACGAAATCTATCTTTACGCCACTGCAGAAGAAAACCGAAAGTATTCGGGTACTGTGCGGTTGGAATGCCTCTGTTGGGATTTCAACCTGACGGTGGCGTTTGTTTTCTTAAACGCAGATCTCAAATATAATGTTAAAAATATCTGCGATCAGTGCTAAGTATTGGTTTTTGGTGTAACACATACAAACCTTAAATCAAAGGAACCTCTCATTGCGTTCGCGAGTAACCTGCTTGCCCTGCACTTGTACAGCTTTATCATTACTTGCATTTACAGGGTTTCTTTTTTTTGACTGAATACACGACGCACGTGTTTCCGACATAATGAATGGTCAGTGTATTTTCACCTGTAGGAAAAGAAGTGTGACTCTTTTAAAGTTCCACTTTAATTTTTAATAATATTATTACAACTGAAATATTTTACCTACTTTTCGCTTTTGTGCACGAGACAATACCATAATAGATGTAGCGATAATGAACATTAAGCATTGTTTAGTGTCGAAAGAAGGGATGGGCAGTATTTCAAACGCAAGTATTTGAAATGCGTATTTCAAATACTTTGTGTATTTTGCATTTGTATTTAATTACAAATTGGATAATGTATTTGATGTGTGTATTTAAATACTAAAACGTGGGTATTTCAAATACAAGTGTAATTAAATGCAATTTTCTGGGCGAAAATACGTCCCTCAAATTTATTGTCACGACTCATTTTGCTCATCCTAAGACGTGTCCAGAGCAGGGAGAAAACTACGTTCTGCACCGAATGCAGTGTCTCTCAATCAAGCACAAGCGTTTAGTGGCTTTGTGATTGCGGTGCTAGTCTAGGGCAAGAATAGTGACGAAATCGACGTTCACAGGTAGAATGGCTAAGTGCCTGTGACAACTTGTGATGTACTCCAGCCTGATTCCCATCCTTACATTTTGCCTGGAACATTCTAAATGCGCGGGTCGTCCAGATTTTCGTAACTGGTGCGAGTTGCAACAATACAAAATTCTCTGACTAGTTCTGCACGTCTTGGTCGTATCGGTTCTATGTTGGTCTATACCAAAATGTAATCGAGAAAAAAAGCTGCTTGAAGCTCAGTACTTTTTTCACCTATTATGTCCAAGCTGATTACGTTTTTTGTGATTATATTTCTATTACGTTACTACAGCCTCGCACACTAACACCCGAGTGTGCGATGCAAAATTAAAATGAGATACCCAGAAACCCGTTGCAGGTGCCCTGAAGCCGCTGACGAAAATTTGGAGGAATGTATTTGGAAAAGTATTTGGAGGAGACCAAATACATTTGGCTGTATTTGTATCTTGTACTTAAATGCTTTTTTGGAGATGTAATTATATTTGTAATTAAATACGTTTTTGACGAAGTATTTTGTATTTGTATTTCGATACATATTTGCATGTATTTTGCCTATCCCTGGTCGAAAGCGTAATTTCATTAATTTGTTTAGTCACATATCTCAAATGCATACAATATAAATTGCTCCATAACCTTATGCGCCTTGTGGGTATACAGGTTCGCGACAATACTTGGTCAAGTGTAGAAGGCTTTAGAATACATTTACATACTTTATCCTACAGATTTATACTGTATCGCAGGCGCTTGTCATGTCAGTTTTGGTGTAAAACGAATTTTGATGCAAATTTTGTCACTATAAAACAATTATTATTATTATTTTTTCGTTAACCAAACAACATTTAACCCTTTTCTCGGACGCAGTCGCTTTAGAAAAGTGTCGCCCATCCGGATGTCGACATCTCGGGATCGGCCCATCTGTTCCGACGCCTGCTGATAATTCGCTTTTTACTAACTAAATTTCATTTCTGAGCCTTATATCTTTTATTAGTGTGTCTTTACTGTGATCATGTATATTCTGAATGTTTGTTTATTACACATACTGTTCTTATCTAGTAGCACCAATCTAAATACCACTATCAGAAAGGCCAAACCTTCCGCACACTAAACACCAGAAAGAAAAGACAAGAAAGGGGACATATATTCTATTCCGGCTTGTCACATCTTCAGGCCGGGGCACTAGAGAATTAGGGCTCCACCCGCAGGCGCGGTCGCGTGCATCGCGTTCTTAAAAACGTGTTCGCGAAAAAAGACAGTTCCTGAAGCTCTTGTCATGCTGCGCCATCTAATGACGTCCGTCTGAAATGGGAACGACCCTCGGACACACTTTTTACGTGGGGATGACGTTCATTCTCATATCTCTATAGTCTATAGTCACTGGCATTTTAAGAACGTGGCTTATTGTATTTACGCTTCTTGTTTCGCTATTCGTTTGTTAGTGCTCTTCCCGGCTAATGCCGAAATTTGTTTGGCCGGAGAGCGATGATAAGACACTCGAGACTCGCCACGTCGTGTTTCTTAATCTGTCAGTGACTATATTTGCTTATCTCTAATTCTTTTATATTAAGAGCGTCAAATATAGGCGTTTTCGGTTTCTTGTTGTTTTCAGTCGCGTGGGTTCCGTACCTGGTATGCGGGACGAAAAAACTTTAAAATATTTCTACCTGGAATATACGAGAAAATATAAGTGAGGTAAAACAAGACTGTGTGACCATCACCCTTTTTTCGTAAACGTCTTTCAGCGGCGTGGAGAGATCAAAACAATGTTTTACCGCATACCACGGGTGACGACATTCAAGATGCCTGCACCCTTTTGGAAAAGGTGTAAACAAGCTACCATAAATATGGCTTACACACCCCCAGCCTTTGGCTTATAACTCATTCCTGGTTTCTTGTGTGTGTGTGTGTGTTTGTGTGTGTGTGTGTTTGCTCTTAATATAGTAATTATGTAACATAGGATCACGCACGTGTGTAAGCGCGTTGTTCACTTTCACTACTTGGGTATATGCGTCCGTGTGCACTTTTTGGCCAAACATCAAAACGTTATGGAGCTGTGGACTAGGGAATGAAGGCTATAGACATATATCTCTGAACAAATACACTACAGCTGGAAAAAGCTAAAAAAATGCACGTATTACAATAGGGAAAGGAATATAGCAAAGGTCCACAGTAATACATATAAAAGAAATGAAAGGACTGTTTCTTGTTTTTTTTTTTCACTCACTCCCCTCTGTAACGCCCCCAGGGCCTTGAGGGTAGGTAAATAAAAAATAAATAAATAAAAAAATTATACTAATATATTTTTTAATTTACATTAAGAAAGTAATTTCTGCATATATATTGAAAAGACGCCGGCGAGAATCAATCGACACACAATACAAAGTAATGCGCTGCACACACGTAATTGAAACACCAGGTCAAAGAAACATTAAATGTGTAGCTGCTTTTGAAATATAAGGTCTCCATCGCGCTGCTTGCTTTTCTTGAACTAGGGTTAGTGCGTCTTGCTTTTGATTAGCGAGTAACAATAGCAACTATTCGGTAATCGCGCGTTAGATTTCTCCACGAAACATTTAGAACGTTGATAATAGTTAAAAAATATATACCAGTTATTTATGTTAGACCAATATCGTAACCCTTAAACTTGTGTATCTGCCGTAGATGTTAAATATAAATGGTCCCTTCACGATCTAAAATTGGCGACTCTGCTATCACTGACCCCTCATGAAAGGCCTATTTAGGGAGGCTTCCAAATATAGATCAATGATATAGTACGTGATTTTATTGCTCACGGAAACTCAGTCGAACACACATTGATGTGGCGTTTGCACGTAAAATGTGGCTCCGCAATCAACGGCATAGATTTGTTTTTGTTTTTAACGAGGCTGAAACGCGTTAGAAATAATTTGAGTTAGGAGTGGCCATTATATTTTTTTTCGATTTTTGTCCCCTGAACCTTGATATTTCAATTAAACTACAGATCACTGCGAATTTTAAACTGACATTTACTTCGCTCTTAACAATTAAGCTGGAAGAAATATGTATTCGGATGATTTTTAAGTTTCCGGCATTCAGGGCTTCAGAGATATTCTCCATTCCAAAACCTCTCCAGCTCCCCTTTTACAAAGTTAGATATCTGCCAATATCGCACTAATTAAACTATAAATACAGTGATATGGTGTAAAATTATTTCTAAATCGCAATATTGTTTTGCTTAGAAAAACATTTTTATGCAACATAATCCCTTCTATTTACAAGAAATATGCCCCTCTCCTTATCTATATAGCTTTTAACACAAAACAAAATTCTTACACAATGGCTGAAGCACCACAATATCGACGGAGTGCCTTTGGAGTCACTTTTTTTCTTTGGAACATTGTGGCGGTTTTGTTTGTTTATGTGGCTTTAGTCGTTCCTAACAAAATTAACTTTCATCGTATTTACAAATCCCTCTATAAAAATTAAGGTGCTGTGTGTTCGAAATTGAACCAGAATTGGTGATTCGGACAAAATTCATATTGTGTATATTCACAAAGAATCAATATTGAAGTTTAAAGTTTTTCTATCTTGGCAATGATCCTCGAGCATAACCTACTTTAGATGCATAAAGCACAAAATTTAGTCACTCACCGCTGCTCCATCTTTCAGTGACATCGTCGCCATTGTTGGTTCGTCGATATGAGATCTTCATAGGATACCTATATGCGGTATAGAATGTAGACCACGAGTTAGAAACTGCGATACTAACAATACGTTCTCCTGCTTTCGCCGCTTTACTCCAGATTACGTTCTTGGAACTTCTCCAATGACGGTAGGCAGCAATCAGCTGTAATCAGCTGCTAGCAAAAAAAAAAAGAAGTATTTACGGAAAGCTTTCAACGGTGGTACAAGGCACTCCATCGTAAAAAAAAAAAAACTTAAGGGTTTTGCGTAGAAAACCAACGAAGTCGGCTCTGAACGGAGGGTATCAGGAAAGCACCCCCCCACCCCCCCCCCCCCCCCCTAAGAAAGTGCTCTATGGATGTCTATCGAAACTCCTACGGTTATCTATCACCTTATATGCCCCTCTATGGTCAGCCATAAGGAACCATAAAACGCGCTATAGCCACCTAAAGAATAATCTGTGTCTTCAAAGCTATAGAATGTCCGCCATTCAGGTTTCTATAGCAATTGGCTATAGAATAATGCTCGCCTATAGAGCTATCGCTCTTGACCGTTCAATTTCCTTTATCAAGCTATAGAAAAATGTATGTCCTTAATGCTTAAGATCCGCGACTATTCAATGCGCCTTAGCCGTCTATAGAGTGTAGCGTGTCCCAAAATTTATAGGCTCGCAACCATTGAATATTTTTTAGCCGACTCAATTGTGCTTTATGCCACCAAAGACTATAGGCCTCGGATATTTCATTCTGCTTTAGCTGGCTATAGAAGAATGTATATCTCTAGAGCTATAGAATCGCGACCATCCAAATTTGTTTAGCCAGCTCAATGGTGTTTAATGTCACTTAGGCTATAGACCTGCGACCTTCTTTTACCTGCCGAGGCCGGAAAGTGGAAAAGAGTCATTCATGCGCTAGTCCGGGGCAAGAATTTTCTTTAGCAATCTTAATGGTGCGTACGTCGCCGGTGCTATACGCCCGCGATCACAAAGCGTCCTTAGCTGCCTATAGGACTATTGCAGTTTTGCCGGCTGTTCTTCCTTCGCATTGCGTTGCCTCGGCGTTGACGTCACCTCACTCTTCCGTTTTATAGCTCTAATTATCTCTTTATCTTCCAGTGTACTTTTTTGTTTGTAAGTATATGTCTTTCGTAGTGTTAACAACTTCTATGTTCCTGCCATGTTTTTATTTCTTACTGCGTGCTGTATTTGTTTTTCTATTTATTGTTTTTGCGTATATTTCGTCGTTCTCGACGCGGGCGTAAACGAATAAAAGCCGCTGCTGACGCCGCTACAGAGGGAAGCTCTACTCTACTCACGACAGTCTACCGCGCTATAAAGTCATCTATTTAACTCGAATTAAGTCAAGATGGCTGTTTCGAATGCCGGCGTCACGCCACATGTGAACAAATTCATTTTCTCCGCTAGATTTAGGGTGAAATTGAATCGCTGTTGAGGTCACGTGACGTAAAATTTTCTGCTAAATCTTGCGGAGAAACTGAATTTGTTCGCTAAATATAACGGAAAAAATAAATTTCCCCGCGAAAGTCAGCGAGGAATGGAATTTGTGGTGAGGTCACTTGACGTCAATTTCTCGCGAACTCTAGCGGAGAAACTGAATTTGTCCGCTAAATCTAGTGCAGAACAAAACAGTAGTCACCGTCAGTTGTTCCTTTTAAGTTATAATGGGGGTTATACAGCGTAAAACATTGTATCTTCAAACTTGCCGTGCTTTGGGTCACTTTTGGGCTGGGCAGCTTGTTTGGAAGTCAAAAAAAGTGGAAGGCGTTTACAACTCCCTGTAACACCGAATTAGAGCGCAGCTCTTGAGGAGGAGGAGGGAAGGGTACTGGGGGGGTGAAGTGGCCTGGGGGGATCACGTGACCTTGGCGGGTCACGTGACGATGCCGATGATGTCATCAGTGACGTCACTGATTGCGTCATCAGTGACGATGACGATGCGGACTCCGATGACGTCATCAGCGATGATGACGATGCGGATGTCGGTGACGTCATCAGTGACGTCACTGATGACGTCATCTGTGATGATGACGATGACGATGCGGATGCCTCCGAAGTAACGTGACACCCCCAGGTCACGTGACCACCCCCAGGGTCACGTGACCCCCGCCGAGGTCACGTGACCTCCCCGATGACGTCATCGTCACTGATGACGCCATCGTCACTGATGGCATCGTCATCGTCATCATCACTGATGACGTCATCAGTGACGTCACTGATGACCTAACGGCATCCGCACCGTCATCGTCATCATCACTGATTACGTCATCAGTGATGTCACTGATGACGTCACCGGCATCCACATCGTCATCATCACTGATGACGTCATCAGTGACGTCACTGATGACGTACCCGGCATCCGCATCGTCATCGTCATCATCACTACTGATGTCATCAGTGACGTCACTGATGACCTCATTAGTGATGATGACGATGACGATGCGGATGCCGGTGACGTCGTCAGTGACGATGAAGCCATCGGGGAGGTCACGTGACCTCGGCGGGGGTCACGTGACCCTGGGGGTGGTCACGTGACCTGGGGGTGTCACGTGACTTCGGGGGGGGTCACGTGACTTCAGGGGGGTCACGTGACTTTGGGTGTCACGTGACCTTGGGATGACCTTGGGGGCCACGTGACCTTGGGATGACCTTGGTTACGCCGACGCCAACGGCGACGCCGACGCCGCTCAAGCCGGGAACGGGCCCCTAAGAGCTGCGCTCTAAAAGCTGGCCTTCGTGGAGCTGTCCTCTTCACTCGGTATTGAAAGCAGAGCAGACGCTATGCATGTTTTAGGCTAGTCGTTTCTTTGGTTAGGGTCACGTGCCAACAGTTCCGAAGCTGGTGATAAGGCAGAACACGGCACTCGCCTGAAGCCCAAGACGACACATAGCATCCACTGCACTATCAACCTTCGGTACAAGTGACAAATCCTTTTATTGCATTCATCGTTGCGGTGTCCGTGAAGATTAGACTTCGTCAGCACACCCCGTTCCGGCTTTCAAGAAGCTGATACCTTTCTACTCCTTCTCTCTTTTTAGAGCGCAGCTCTTAGGGGCCCCGTTCCCGGCTTGAGCGGCGTCGCCGTCGCCGTCGGCGTCAGCGTAACCAAGGTCATCCCAAGGTCACTTGACCCCCAAGGTCATCCCAATGTTAGAGCCTCGACATGGGAAACGGGGGACCAGTGAAGGTTTAAAAGGGAGCGTTTAATACACGTCTGGCGGGTACGCCTGCCTAGCAAAAAGGACGGTGCGCCACGCGGGTGGTGGCGCGAGCTTGGGGTCAGTCGTCTTCTTTTGCGAGGGCGCTAACACTCGGCCATCCTGAAATTCAAGTGTCCTCACTTGATGCTTCTTATTCAGTGTCAACATCAAAGGTGTTGACTCGTTTCAGCTTGTCGACGGGAGCTGTTGACTTGTAGAAACGTTGAGTCCGCTTGAGGCCAGGTATATCTTCAATGCGGTAGGTGTCATTAGAAAGTCGCATCGACTTCCGCTGCAAGTGCGACTTCTTGTTCTTTTTTTTCTTTCTAGAGCCTCCGCTGTTGCTCACGGAAGGCTTGTTGTTGTAGCCGCCGTCGTTGTTTCGGTGCTGGTGATTCGTATTGCGGTGAGGTCGCTTCCTTGATTGTTTTCTTGCCGACGTGTTTTCGCTCTGCACCCGCTTGCGGCTGCCCTTGCCTCCTTTCTGCTTGTTCGGTGGTGCTCGCCAATTTCTTTCGGACTGTCTACTTTGATGTTGAGACTCGTGAGGGTCGTCGCAGGAAATGATGCAGGGAGTAACCCGATTGCCCCTATTTTTCATGTGACATTGGTGACCAAATTGGCCTTGGCCTGCGCAGTTGCAGCAGTAGCATTCCTTAACTGGCCGCGTCGTGAGAGGCACTCGCACGATAGGACCGTCCTCTGTTGTAAGGTGGTATCTCCACGACAGATCAGGGCAAAGCTGAGGTCCTGTTCGTACATCTTCCGCTTTCGTCGGTTCCAGGAGATCCGTCGTCCTTCGGTTGATGACCGTTTCAGATATTTCTGAACACCAGGAGCCTCTGGCTGCTACATCGCCTTTTGAAATATTGACGTTGGAACTGCATATGTTCAAAATAGGCAAAGCCGTATCGCCATATTCTGTGACGTTGATTGCACAAGCAGGCAAACAGTGTTCCTTGCCTTCGTGCATCCGAAACTGCTCGTCAACAGAGATCGCCTTTGCATTCCTTCCTGCCCTCGAACCGGTTGCCGCATCAGATCGGTGGGACACTACCCTAACGGTGGTGAGTCGGTCGTCCAAACGTTTGAGGCACTCCAGCAGATCCTCCGGAGCAGAAAACTTAACAACGCTCAGGCTCCGAAGGAGCGCTTCGTCACTGATGCCTGTAATGACGTAGTCCACGATCTGATCTTCAGGAAGTTGACAGAGTCGAGCTAGGCTGACTTTTTCATGAAAGTACTGCTCGACAGTTTCGTTTGCCAATTTCCGTCTCGCTTCCATCTCTTGGTGCCGGCGCTGTAAGCATATGACGGGTGGAAAAGCTTTCTTCAGCTCCGCCTTCCATTCAAGCCACGAGCGCTGGACACTGACGAGGCCGTCGTACCATGTTTTAGCGATTCCTTCTAGCTTCGTTAGCGCAAAACACGCCGTCTGTATCTCGGTCCACGAGTATATCGCCGATAGTTCGTCAACTTTCGGTATCCAATGTTCAACTGTCTGCACCGGATTAGTGACGGGGTTGAACACTAGAATCAGCTTACCGGACTCTGCAGGTGGTCTTGGGTCTTGCGTGTGCTGGTTTGCGGGACGAAGCAGGTCAGCCATGCCTGCGACCGCTCCTCGCACGGCAGCTTGTACAACCTCTTGTACAATAGTCTGAAGCCCAGACAGATCACCTGTCCGTCCATACAACCCAGTCTGGATTGTTGGTGGAACGTTTGCTGGGCCTGCCAGCGGTATTCGTTGCCCCACGGTGTCGGTGTCGGAGCGTTCCGAATCTTGACCTGCCACGCCATCTTGGCTCGTGGTTGCGT